TAGCTAGGTAAGTACTATAAGTAGGTGTATTAAATTAATTTTGATATAGGTACGTTATTGTTAATATATTATGGAGATGTAAATTGTCGTTAGTATGTTGTGTCGTATATGTATTGTAAATCGCAATGTAAATCAAATCTCTAAACATTTATTTGGCTTTTGACTTTTTTCTCCGGACTTTTAGGTAGAATACTGTTATAGCCATATAGAATAATAAAAAGCTGACACGTCTGACTAGCAGCGCTCGGCAGATAATTTAACTACGCCGTATAAAGAGTTGTGGCCGGGCAGTCGTGTACAAACCACACAGTAAGATAGAGATGGCATCTCCTCTCTCGACGATGTAATTGTTTGAAGCCCAATCGTCGGTCATTCACCCCGGTCCGTGACACTTAACGCATATTTATCCACTAGATCGTAGTTAAGTCGATTAAGCTTTACAAGTAAAGTCAAGATCACCTTGAAATATTTTTTGGGAATATCAGAGCACAAAATGGATACGACAACAACCCAACAGCCAGGCAGTTTCGTTCTGCATATAGAAAACTTGTCATAAATGTAAATAATGTACAGCAGACCAACAGTGGAAATTGCATACCCTTAGAGAGTATTGACATCCTTTACTATTCTAGCAGTAACCCCATTAAAGTTATTAATGAAAGTACAACAAATATTAATTCTGATCCTACATATTTGGAAGATAATTTAAAAGCAGCTGAATGTTTCATTAATGATCATGATTATATAGTCACTCAATACTTCTGAAATAAGTAAATTCACTAAAGAAATAATTATATATATTTCAGGATTTGTGGTGCATAATTAATTAGCTTCAACTCTTCAATGTGAAACGTGTGTAAAAGCATTATATGCTATAAGCAAAGATCAATTTTTGAATTCTTTAATTTTTTAAAAAAATCGAGGTTTTAAAGGAGGTCTCGTTTACCCGAGTGACCATGTTAATACAGTATGTTTACAAACTGAAAAAACTCTCAAGTATTTCAATTACCAAACTAAAGCAATAAATAAATTAAAAATACAATCTCAAGCATTCAATCACTTTTTAAATAACTCAAAAATATTTAATTCATTAAATTTTCACAGCGAAGAAACTAATTCACCTTTATCTGATCATGTACCACTATTAATAAAATCAATTTATACAACATATATTAATTTGAAAGTAAAATATAGCTTGAAAGCACATAATGAAACACAATCAATGAGGTCATGGTATAATAAATTAACTTTATTCAAAGGCCAATAACAATAATGCTTTTATATTAATTTAATTTAATGATTTTAATTTGTGTTTTTTATATTTTATAATTAATTTAATAAGGATGTATATTATGTAAAATGTATTCTTTAAAATAAACGCAATATATATTATTATTTTTACTATACTGATAAATTTTATATTATGTGAAAGTCTGGAATCCGATCAATCTACAAATATATGGTAAAATAAAAATAAATCTGAAGTCGTAAAAATTATAATAATAAAATATATTTTATGATTCCAAGTATTAAATATTTAAATCATAGACAAGAATTCAGATCTGTTTTGATTTAAAAAATCATCGGGTACTATACAATGTATAAACCGTGAAATATTTCTACAAATGGTTACACTGTTTTTAGTCATTTTGCGCTTCACTTATTATTTGTAATGCTACCTCTATCTTACTCTATGGTACAAATCGTCCTGCCGATGGCTAACCTGTTCTTTATAATCGTGCTAATAATAATCATGCCGATTGTTGTACCGAACAGGTACGCTCATTGTAAATAATATATGAAAAGTTATGCTTTTGGAAATATATTTATATAATTCGGATACAAAGAGGGCGCACTACAGTAGACAATAATTATATAGAGCATAAAAAGAAGGTTTCGTAATTCCAGTTGTACGGCTTAATCAATAGGTTTACAGCAAAACTACCTATTACAAAAATTGTAGAGAAGAAGTATTTTAACAATCGTAAGAAGCCCGATTTTTGATATTTGTATTAATTAGTTAAATAATTAATCAATAAAAAGTTAAAAACCGTGTTAATTTACCATATGATGTTGGACGATAGGAATACGATATCAAAAATCAGATTTCTTACGATCCTTAAAAATGTTCTCCTTTACAATTTTTATAATAGGTATTTTTATTGTAAGTTACTTCAATAAGCCGTATTACATCAAGAACAAAAGTATAGTTTTTAATTCAGGGACTGGAATCTTGATGATTTCTACGGTTCCGGTTCCTATTTGGTTCCCAGTAAAACTAAAATTTCGGTTTCGGTTTTTTAAAATATACAATTATATGTAGTAGATGTAGTCAGCCTTGACACGTGTGTACAATTTAGTAACTAGTTATGCTTATGTACGAGCATAAGACTCTCTCTCTCTTTACGGATGTAACATGACCTCGGTCGTGCATATATATAGGGCCTTTGATGTATGTAATACTCACTTGCACAGACGCTGTCATACCGAGTGTACGCGGTGTGTGTGTATTGTCACAGTTTAATTGTCTACGTGATCGAAATACATTAAAAGCTCCGATCAGGTATAACATGTCGTCGTTCGTCGCCAATCTCGTTGAACCACTAAATCGTGATGAAGCGATCGCTAGTCCACAGAAAAACGAGTGGGAGCACGCTATGAGTGATGAAATTACGTCACTACACAAAAACAACACTTGGTCACTAGTTAATTTGCCTCAGGGCAAGGTTGCATTACGTAACGCATGGGTTTTCAAAACCAAATACAAAAGTGACGGTAATATCGATAAATTTAAGGCCAAATTGGTCGAAATACGGTATAGATTACCATGAAACATTTTCGTCAGTGGTCAGATATGAATCAATTAGGGCGATATTCGCAGTAGCAGCTGTGGAAAAATTAATATTACGACAATTCGACATCAAGACAGCATTTCTGTACGGAGAACTACAGGAAGAAATTTACATGGGTACAACCACCAGGATACGAAGATGGATCGAATAAAGTATGTAAGCTTCAGCGTAGTTTATATGGCTTAAAACAAAGTCCAAGATGTTGGAATATACGATTTAAGAACTTTTTGAATGCATTTGGTTTACAATGTACCGAAGCGGATGCATGTGTATTCAATGCATATAACAGTAAAATTATTCTGACAATGTTTTTAGACGATGGGTTTAATCGCTGCAGACAAAGAAGAAATAATAGATAAACTTTTGACAAACTTAGAGAAAGAATTTGAGGTTAGAAAAGGAAATTTAGATTATTTCCTAGGTATGCAGGTAAATATAATAAAAAATGGTTCTTTATTTGTGCATTAGACCAATTATGCCCGTAGCATAATTAATAAATTTAATATGCTGGACGCAAAAGAACTTTCAATACCAATAGACAAATCACATACACTTGAACAAAAGGAAGATACGGAAATATTGAATGAAGATATTCCTTGTAGGCAGGCAGTAGGTAGCTTACTTTTTTAATAAAAATTACAGTTTGTCTCGTTTTAATTTCAATAATGAATTCTAATTAATCTAAAAAACTGAAAAATTAATCTTGAAAACTATGAATAAAATTGAACCATAAAAATTATTACAATAACTGACTGAAAAATTAATGTATATTTAAAATAAATAAAAACAAAATAATTAAAAATATAAAAAATATAATAATTGACACATAAAAATTATAAAAAAAAATAATAACTAACCAATTTTAATAATTTTTGTCATTTACATTTATTTAGAATTTTTAATAAATTATGGTTATTATTTAACGTTTTTTTTTATTCAAATCCGTTTTTATATTCAATTTCGACTTTTTTTTATCTTATTCGGATTTTTTATTCAAAATGGCTTTTTAACTGATTAATATTTTTTATTCAACAAATCTCATTAGATTTTTATTCAACTTTCCATTTTTTTTTATCCAATAAGCTCAAATAAAAATCTTGTTGAATAAAAACTTAATTTGGATAAAAGGAAGAAAATTCAAATAAAAAATTTAAATTGGATACAAAAAAATTGAAAGTAGAATAAAAATCTAATGAGACTTGTTGATTAAAAAAACCTAAAAAATAACGAATTAGATAAAAAAAAATCTAAAAAAGAGATAAAAAACCCTTGTTGATTAAATTGCTGTTTTTTTTACCCAAATTTGTTTTATAATCAACAAGACTTTTAATTAAATTTTTTTTTTATTAAAAATGGTTTTTAAAAGCCTTGTTGAATATAAAATGTAAAATAGATAGAAATTCCAATTTAGGGCAATTCCCCAGCCCCCCACCAAAATTTTGGTTTAAAAAAAAAAAAACCAAATCTCTACAAACGAAAAAAATTTGAAAACAAACCAATTCAAACCGGCTACAAACGAACGGTAAAAAAAAAAATGAAAATTCCAATTAAGGGAATTTCCCCGGCCCCCCTACCAAAATTTTTGTTTTAAAAAAAACCAAATCTCTACAAACGAAAAAAATTTGATTACAAACCAATACAAACCAGCTACAAACGAATGGTAAAAAAAAAATTAAAATTCGAAATTGGGGGGGGGGCTGGGGAAATGTACCTACTAATAATACATCCACAAACATGCCCTATACGCGAGGGGCCGTGGGTGAGTTGTGGCCCGCCGCGGTAGTTTCCGGTGTTGGAGACCGGTGACTTCCAGCCCGATAATACTTTAGCCTTAGGTGAGTAGCTGCCCGAATAATTATCATTACCTATGTGTACCTATTGGCTAGTAACTATATGTACGATGTTTCTATATAGTGATAAACGAATTGTTCGATACGTATGGCAAGTTATATCTTCATATAATACAGTATAATGAAGATAATATGTTTTATTGTATTATCTGCCGACTGCCATATGACTTGCATTAACTACGATAATCGAATAATTTCAAATGGCAAAATGAAAATCGTATTTAGTCCGAAATCAATCTTTGTTCGTATAAGTGTGTATCGTTTGTATAATATATTAAGCGTATTTGAATACTTCACCATGGAATTTGTATACAGTGAAAAATCGAAGCCACATATTATTATCTACAATGGCTACAAATTCCGTTTTCATAAGACACTACAAGATGATGTACAGCGGCCTTGCTGTTTCAAAAATTTTATGTGTTTTATTAAATTATCACCTTCAAATATAATAGTTGAGAGTAATACCAATCACGAACATAGAAAACCTGACGAAAAAGTCCTAAACCGGCAAATAATGAGTAATTCTCTGAAAAGAAAAGCTTTTGTTGACATTTCTTGCAAACCATTCAAACTTATTCGCTTGGAATTGAAACATGGTGATATACCGACTTTGACTGACAATGATTTAGGATTATTAAAATATTAAAATATTATATTATATTCTAGAAACGCAAAGAATTATTATATTTATTACATTGTATTTTAACCAAAACAATAGTTTAAAAATGAAATTACTATACGGTATTATTAATAATATAGGTACGACAATTCTAGAAAATACGTAATATTAATAAATTTATATTGTAATGTTTATATATACTTGTACTATGTATAGTATATATTATTTATGTAGTATATAGATTATTGTATGGTCGCATGCGATTCGTACGTACCTCTCATAAAACCCGGGCCGCAACTCGTACGTTATTTAGTGTTTGGGCCCCAACTCACCAGCACCGACGCGAGGGATGGCGAACCTTTTGATTAGAGGTGGGTCGAACTCAAAAATATGGTCTCGAACCGAACTCGAACCGAACCTTGGTATTTCGAACCGAACTCGAACCGAACTTTTTAATCGTTTATCGAACCGAACTCAAACCGAACCTTAGTATATCGAACCGAACTCGAACCGAACTTTTTGGTGTGAAGTTGAACTCGAACCGAGCATTTTATTCAACATCGAACCACATCGGTACCATATATTTCATTACTAAACTGAACCCAAAATAAACTTTTGAATTAAATGGCAAATGAAAGCTTTATAGTTTTTACTTTATACTTTAAAGCCACAGTGTGGGGAAATATCTAGATCAGTAGTATAGATTTGTATGTTCACAGTCTTTTTTTTGTGTTACCACGGTAATTTCACAACGTTCAAGGGAGGATGTCCCCCTTGGACACAATAATTTTACCGTGTAAAAATTATGAAGAGTTTACACACTTTTTACACGGTAATTTCACACCGTTCAAGGGAAGATGTTCCCCTTGGACACAATAATTTTACCGTGTAAAAATTATGAAGAGTTTGCACACTCAAAGTCAGTTTTGTCCAAATATTTACAGTGTACACGCTAAATGGTTTTTTTTCTCAACAAACCTTATTACTAAAATGAAATAATTAATTTACAATAATAAAAATCTATTATTTCATAACTTGTGTTCTGTATTTAAAATAATTATTTCATTTTAGTAATAAGGTTTGTTGAGAAAAAAAACCATTTAGCGTGTACACTGTAAATATTTGGACAAAACTGACTTTGAGTGTGCAAACTCTTCATAATTTTTACACGGTAAAATTATTGTGTCCAAGGGGAACATCTTCCCTTGAACGGTGTGAAATTACCGTGTAAAAAGTGTGTAAACTCTTCATAATTTTTACACGGTAAAATTATTGTGTCCAAGGGGGACATCCTCCCTTGAACGTTGTGAAATTACCGTGGTAACACAAAAAAAAGACTGTGAACATACAAATCTATACTACTTAGATCAGTAGATAATAATTATTTATCTTTTATTTTATGTAGATAATTTTCAGCTCGATTATATTTATCTTCATCCTGATCAAATTCTATTTATCTATGTATGTAGTATGTACTATGTACCAAGGCTGGGCATTAACGAGTTAATAAGTTAAAGTTAAGTTAAAAAGTTAAGTTACTTTTAACTAAGTTAATTAACGAGTTACTTTTTTTTTTAGAAGTAACTTCTAGCTTAACGATTTACATTTTTCCCCATGTTATTCAGTAACTTAACGAGTTAATTAATTTTATTGGCACGTTAAGTTAATTTTTTTCCCAAACCACATATTATTTAAAATTAATTCAATTTTGTAAAATTAATTGCATAAAAAAAAACCCCGAAATATTAAATATATTTTCTTAAATAATAATTTATAATAATAGTAAGTTTTTATATTGCATATTCACAGAAAATATTTTATAACTATATTATAGAGGGAAATATCATAGGGGTAACCGCGTCAAAGAAAAATATAACAATTTACTCAGTACCTATCCCATACACGAAATATCACCTAACCTATACCTAATCATTATTAATATCATTACTTAATTACATTTTTATTCATTCATAGAATTACGGTGATAACTTGGCCCGTCGAAGTAAATAATACCCGTAGTAGCGTGGTATTTACTATTTACCTAATTAAAGTATAATACACAAAATTAATATAAGTACCTACAGAAACTAATTTTATTACTAGGGCCCGGATTTTTATGCAAAAATATTTGTTAAATATGCACATATATATGCACTCAAAAATTCAAAAATATGCAAATAATATGCAAAAAAATGTATTGTTTAAAAATACAAAAATTAAAAATATACCTAGTATTAAGTGAAAAAAAATACAATTTAAATATAATTTTTTTAAATGTGTATAAAGCATAAAAATTTGTATTAATTATTGAATGAATACCAATATGATGTAACAAAATGTGCTTTTAAATTATCAAATTGAAAAAATAATAATAAGTTGTAAAATAATGTAATAAAAGTAATAATAGGTTGTGGGGGTAAACTTAAGTTTGGACATTTTTCTTTAAAAGTACCTACACGACTAGGTACTTTTAAAAAACTTTTTTTGTGTTAGATATCAACAAATCAACATTTGAGAATTCATCCCTAATAGCTTCTGATAATCTATGAAGCCCATGGGCCATACAAGTAATATGGATTAGTTTAGGATAAAATACCTTAAGCGCATGTCCAGATTTTACCATATAAGGAGCGGCGTCTGTGACATACAATAACACTTTGTTATGCAATACTTTTTCAGGCCATAATATATACTCATTGAATCATTGAATAATTTAATATAATGAATTATATTTGTCGGGAACGTCGGCGATCGGGCAAAATCGGCATATATATCAAACTTTGAGTAAAATTTAAAATATTTTATCAAGTATTTATTAAATATGCACATTTTATGTAATTACCCCGAAATATGCAATTATTATGCATTTTGATGCAAATATGCAAAAATATGCAAAATTAAAAATTAACAGTAGAATCTACGTTTTACGAAACGTCAAGATATTTAATCAGAATTATTATACGTCAAATGTAGAAGAATATGCATTTGCATAAAAATCCGGGCCCTATTTATTACAAACATTTATTCAAATATTGTAAGACATTTTTTGATTTATTGAACTATTATGTTATTTGTAAGCTTTAAAAAAGGTAGGTAGGTATAATTGTTAATTTTATTTAAAAAAAAAAGTAACTTATTTTTAACTAAGTTAAGTTACTTTTATTTTCTAATTAACTTGTAACTTTTACAAGTTAAAAAAAAATGAAGTCAACTTTTAACTTTAAACTTAACTTACATTTTTCTATATTAACTTAACTTAACGAGTTAAAAAAAATAGTTAACTTGCCCAGCCTTGCTATGTACCTATTTATATAATTTATTTTAATGGACAAAAAAAAAATGTTGAAAATTAATAATATTATTCATAATATTTTTAATTTAATATTTAGTATTTAGTAATAAGTAACCAGTAACCAATAACACTGATAACTATTATTTGGAATTAACGATTAATGAGTAAGTAGTAGGAGTGTAGGACTCAGGAGTCAGGACCAATGTTATAAAAATATAAAATGTCAAATAATAATGATAAAGATATTTAATTTTTTTGAATAACTATATTTAATATTGATATTGGCCTTTAATATTGTTCAGCATGTTACGAACTTCGATTATTTAAATTATAAATTATAAATAGTTCAAAACTACAATACCAAAATAATTATCCAAGTCTATAAATAATTCAGTAGCACAAGAAATAAATAATAATCAATGCCCGTACAATATAGTGGTTTTAATTTTAATAATTTTACATTTGTAATATTTAAAATTTAAATACATGGTACATAATATAGAATATTGTATATTATACTATATAACAATAACTTTATAGATTATAGACAATAGGAGAACTAAAAATAAAACAAACACCACAATAAACATCGGGAACATTTTTAGTTCGAAACGTTTGACATATTAGAATTTTTTGCTGTTCGAACTATTTTAATTTTCGAACTATTTTGATTTTCGAACTTTTTTGTTCGAGTTCGGTTCGGTTCGGATTTTTTAAGACTTGGTTCGACTTTCGATCTCGAACCGAACACCTAAAGTTCGGTTCGATTTTTCGAACTTCGAACAGTTCGACCCACCTCTACTTTTGATAACTGCGTGTCAAATCAAAATGTTTGGTTTGATTTTATTGGGAGAATGTAAGTTCCTACACGAAAAAAAAATTATACCGAATACAAACTTTTTTTTTTTTTATTAGATGACCCGAGGAAACATAAGCCATTGGGTGGGGGTGGAACTGTGAGTTGTTGTATTTTATAGGTTTGATACACGTGTGTATGTTGTGGCAGAATTTCTAGTGCGGGGCACCCGTAGGTTTCTGCCATGCCCCGGGTGGGGGATGGCGGCACTTGTTCTACACCGTGACTTGCCTGAAGAAAAATTTGTTTGTTTTTGTGTTCCATAAAAAAAGTCCAATCAATTTTTTAATTGAATCTAGTCCAAACATATAATAAAAATTAATAATATAATAATATGTAGGTATGGTCCGCATATTATTTATGTATAGGTATAAAATAATAATAGTTATAATAATTATAATAATAGTAATAGAAAATATCAAATTTTATTTTTCTCATTGTGAAAGCTCAAACACCTTCACATAGTCATACGTACTGTGTAATTATTTTTAAGTTATAATCTGATATTTTGTTATTGATATAGTACCACCCCCCCTAGTATTTGGGCTAGTGCTAGTTCTGATACAAGTCTTACTACAAACGCTTGCGAAAGTACAAATAATATGTGGACCATATACCTACACATTATGTTATTAATTTTTATTATATATTTGGACCAACTACGTTTAAGTTGTAAGTCTTAGTCTGAATAAATCGTCAAGTGGGAACTTACATATGTACCCACTTACCTGCTATGTTTCGTGTAGGAATTTACTAAACCCAATTTTGTTAGTCTCGCGTGTCGCGTGTCACGTGTTAGAAACTTTTCAGACTTTTTTTGCTTAAAAAATAATTGATTAAACATATAAACATGATTTTATTTGTTGTAAGGTATATAAT